GGTGTTTATTGATTTATTTATATACTATTTAATTGTTTATTCATTGATATTTATTTAGCACGGTGCAGGTTTTTATTAAGTTTTCACAGTGTTTTTTTCAAAGATAGCACAGCTGCTTTTTTTTTAACACTGAGGGAAGGAGTGTTTAGCGTGTTAGGAGCATGAATTGTACGACAGAAGACATTAATATACTTACATATTTATTATTACTACTGCAAGGAACATGCTGACAGGAGAGGAAAGGGGAGTGATAAGCTGATCTTTCTGCCTATGCCCCTTCACTGCCCAATCACAGACTGGGGGCAAGGAGGTGACTTAGCTGTGTTGCCTAACTGCAGCAGAGAAAAATCAGATCGCCAATCCAGTTATTCTATTTGGCAGGGTTGAGTAAGGCTGAGTAAGGCAGGATGGGGTGGACAGGGCCAGAGTAAGAGCATCATGGGCCTGGTGCTGTCAGTCGGAGAGGGGGCTCTCTAATTAGGTGGCCGCTCGCTCCTGGGACCTCCTTTGAGATTACCAGCAAGAAGTTCATTCTTTCAGTAGTAAGAGATTAAAACTGCCTGTGTATATTAACCTATAGTCTGCCATACACACATAGATTTCTTTTGTTCAGCCTGAGTGGATGGACGGACAAATCTCCCCTGCTGGGCTAATGTATTCTGACAGCCAATGCCCACCACTGTCAGAATACCCAAACTGCTGAACCCAAACTGTCTTTTTACCCAACTGCAGCTGAAATGTTTCCACTCTGCTTCATTTACAATAGTCTATTGAAAAATTGACTTTTGTTGAGCTGGGTGGTGCCATTTCCGCCAAATCAGTAGGAGTCAGCTAAAATTCAATCAATGTGTGGCCAAGTTATGTCTGAGGGTACAGTGTGAAATTTTAATCATTTGTTAGCAAAAAAATTAACCCCTTTCTCTTACCTGCCTCGGGTAAAATCAATAAGCTGCAACAAAAAGCAACTGACAACAAGGACTTAAATCTTTTTGCTAACAGGTACAATAGATTAAAAAAAACAGATATAACCCCAGACAGGCCTTTACTTTAGTGATTTTAATCACATGAGGTCAGAAAATAGATAAGTACCTCATATGTAATATTGATTTGAAATATGGCCATTGGCTGCAAGACCTAAGTCCCATTCTACTGAGTTGTCAGATGTACAGTAGCTCAATGCTCAAGGTTGGGAAACACATTAACTTTTAACCTCTCTGTAGGAGGCATGACTTGTTTTTGACAATTGCTTTAATTGGATTTTTAATTTTATTTGAGGTACTTGTCAATAGGTGGTTACATCTCCTGCTACTAGAAAATCACAAAGCCCCAGAGTTTGTTACCCAGCATCATAGAAAAAAAACATCTGCAACATTACTTCTCTAAGGGCCCATTCACACCACATCCAGATTACCTCCAGACCAGACCAGATTGTTTCCGGACCCAAAATGCATCCTAATGTATCCCTATACTATTTCTGGCCTCTGTTCACACCAGTGCAGTCCGTTCCAGACCAGACCAGAAAAATACTGTATGCCTCATTTTGTCTGCTCTGGAATGCAATAGAACTGCTGGCAGGTTCACACCGTTTTCTGGACCAGATCTGGTCCGGAGAATGGTGTGAACCTGCCCTAAATCTCTGTCCACCAATCTGTAAATTGTTTAGCATGTTAGGTGATTGGTTTAAAGTTTTTTTTGTATACATGTATTATTGTTTACATGGAGGAACATGGAGGCTACCATTGCTGACCTTTTGGAAAGGTTTATAGCCTAACAGTCCTTAGCTTCAACACTTTTACTGATCTGCAACAAGCATGAAGATTGGAAAGTCTAAATGAAGTCAGAAACCCTGACCTTATTACAGTTCAATGATTCAGATAAAAGACCAAACCATTGGATTAGCATAACAGCCAGCCATATAGCATTTTTAGACAACAGAACCCAATAAAAAAATAAAAAGCAAATGGCTAGGACTAGGGCTTCCTCTGCTAGCACCTTACATAGCAGTTTTCTAAATATTCGATATTGGAATACGTATATTGTTTAATTTATACAAGACTCAGAAGAAGATTTGCAGGGCTATTCACAAAAGCATGAAGAGTTTGGAGTAGGCAGAAGCAGTGAACAATCTAGGACAACATAGCTGAACTGGAAAGAGCTGAATTGGAGAATTTTTCCAAATCAGCTATTTTGTCCTAGATTGTTCACTTCTCCTGCCTTCTCCAAACTCTTCACCCTTTTGTGAATAACCCTGCAAGTTTAAAAGATAGCAACCATGTTTCTTTCTCAAGACTTAAGGTAAACTTGATACAAACCTGGGCAATTCAGACCAAGCTGCATGTCAAAATGATCAGTAAATTCAGGATAATAGAAAGCTGAAATTATATGAAAAGCTTAACTTTTTCTGTTACTGTAAGTGTGATTTTTGCCCATCTCATCTCTTTGGCCTTTCCATTAGTGGGACCAATAGATGCCTGAATCTGCTGATTGAAGTCAAGTTTGACTTTTCTGTTTCATTACTTTTTATTGGTTTTCAAAGATAGTACAAATATGTACATTATATTATAGAGCACAAATTGAGTATCAGTTGAGTACAAATCATTGTGCATATATAAAAAGTACAGGTATTTGGTATTCCTCTTTATGAGCAGTGCAGATTGAGTTAGATCATGAGGTGTAACATTTTGTAGAAGGGTGAGGTATAGTGTCCAATCTTTTAATACATGTAGCGTGTTCCTTAAGATGTCCAACAGACAGAATTATGACTGCTGGAAGGATAGATCAACACAGGACATCAGAGAGAATTTAGGCAACAGTGAGCCAAGCTTGACTTTTAAAGGAAAAGTAGAGATATGCCTAGAACTTGCCTGTTTCTGTACTCATCATTGGGGAGTATGGTTTTCGGTGAAGATAGTCTCCGCTTTTTCATCATATGCTCACTTTGAATTGCCTAGGTTTGCCACAGGTTTAGTTTAATCTGTCATCCATGACTGAAGGCTGTTTATTTCTCCATTATTTTCATTATATTGGTTTAGCTATTGCCCTTTGCTTGTCCTAAATGTATTTTTCTACTTGGCTCATAAATGGATCCAAGTATTGTATGTATGTATGTATGTACTTAAAATGAACCTGTGGGAAGTCAAAAATGTTGACATGACACAAGCAGCAGTTACATGACAGCATAAGCTGTGAGCGCGTCTTATGTTTTATGGCCTGTCACTCACTTGCATTTTCTCTACATCCTGTTAATGCAGAATAGGCAAGCCTCTTACTGGAATCCCACATTGAAATGGCTAATGCCTAAGCAACTTATCAACAGGCGCCAGCACACTAGGAGTGTACCTATGAAAACACTGGCTTTGAAGCAATTATTTACTTGGGTACTCCATGCAGTAAGGGAGCAACAGCTCATTAAAGAAAGGAAATGCTGGCAGAATATACACAGGTTCACTGCAATCTGCTTTTTATAAGCATTCTTGTGAAAATAAAGTTATAAAGCAGGGGATCAGACCCTTTCTTTCATTTTTCATTTGACTTTTGAAATTTGACTGATTTCTATAGGCAACATATGCATTTTAATTTAATGTTGTTTATGAAACAGTATGAGTTGCATTAAAATTTATCTTCCAGTGATCTGAACAAGCGAATATAGATTACAGTAATTTAACTTCTGATGATTGTTTTTTGTTTACTAAATATACTTGCTAAACTGATAAGTCACTAGGGCTCATTTATAAAACTGAAGCCAACTGTAGCATATAGAAACATTTACAGAAAAAACTGTTATCTCCAATCTATCCTAAAAATACAACACATGGAATCGTTACCGGAAACAGGACATTATAGGGAGCACGGTGCTCACACATAGCCATTAGTTGCACTTTTAAAAATCCCATCCCCCCCAAAAAATATATGTAAATTGTGAGGTATTAGTTTATAATTTTTCTAACCTCAATATGTCTTGCAAGTGCTACCCAAATATTTACTAAAATCACAACCCAACCCCACCCAATATGTTTACCTCAGTTTGGTGCAGGGTAAGAACGGGTTAGAGCCTATGTCAGGTCTTTACTGCCACTTGTACCCCTACTTTGGCGATTTACCCTCACTTCCTATCAGGACATGGGTTAGAACTTCTGACAAATGTTTATTGCAAGTTGTGCCTTCCTGTCCTAGTGACTCATGCACCTCCCATTTCTTGCATGGGTTTCACAGTGGCACAATCTCCCTTATAGGGACACATACAGATTAAACCTGAGTGGAGTTTAAACTCCTCTCCACACTATATGAAACTATGAAAACTGTCTGCAATAGGGCTGTATATTCTGGAGTTACATACGTTCCTTTTTAGACTAGCCAGGAAACACTGTATATACTAAAGCTGACTGTAATTATTGATAAAGATGGAAATAAAAATAGCTGCTAGTTGCTCTAAGGCTTATATTTATGCCTTGCTGCTCATAGTTCTTGTCTATCTAATTCTAGATTCTTCTGCACTGTCCTGGAGCATCTTCCTAAAAGACATGGGACATTCAGCATTCCCGGGATTTCGCCAGAAGGAATGTCACCTTCTCCAGTGTGGAAGCCTGGGCTAAGATAAGTATATTGTATTTTCTGACTTTCTGATCCAGAGGTGTTTTTTATAACAGGTACCATCCATAATTTTGAAAGGGAGTTGAGGCCTGATGTAATAAGTGGACCATGCCTTTTATGACACAGTTCTGCATTAACATTGTGTAACAGTGTACCAATCTTATAATGAAGTTATTTGTTTATCCTGCTAGAATTATTTTTCAATACATTTTCTATATATTTAGCACATTCAAAGCAATATAAACAGGTTTTACTTTTGTTCCAAAAACCCCTGAGATCACTATAAAATTTACATTTATAAATGACATAAAATGTTATGAACTTGTCATAAACCTTACATTTGTGTAGCTGCTTTATAGTAAATTATTGGTAACCTGTGGGAAATGTCATGTTTACATAATGCATCTTACCCCCCTCATGATTTTCTCCCGCAATTCTGCCTGTGTCAGAGGTCTCTCCTCTTCATCTGCGGTTAGGGACTCGCTGTCACTGTCATATTCATCTCTGGATAGACAGGCAGAAAGGAACAAGCATCAGCTGCATCCGTTGTAAACAGTGGTGCACATAAAGTACAACTCAATTAACATGACTGACAATTAAATAATTATTTGCACCTTTCTTACTAAGCGGTGAAAAAAGCCCCTATGCTAATAGTTTCTGAAAGTTTTTAGTAAACTCATAGCTTAAGACCTATAAAAAGTAAAATTTACACTTTACACGAATCAGTCTGGGATATGTCATCATAACCAAATCATATTATTCACTGAAAGAAATAGTACCTCTTTCTTTAAATGAATACTAACCACTGCTAGCAAGCAGCTTCCAACTTGCCATGGCCTCTGGCTACCAGGAGCACTATGGGTGTTATATGTAATTAGAGACTACAGAAAGCTTATGGTATTAAGACAGATCCTGTGTGGAAAAACTGCAATGAGATAAGAGGATCAGCAAGACAACCATTATGCCTGACCCCATGAATATATATAATTACAGACTATACATATAAAATAGGATATTTGTACTCATCTGCTATGGAGCATGATTTCTATAAATGGTGTTGTTTGTGTTTGTGAAGAGTTGTTGAAGCTATTTCAGTGTTTTGGAGATGCTTTGTATACCTATGGTTTGTTACTTGGCCAGGTAATAGGTTTGAAAATATTTCTGTCCCTCTCATGGGAGTCTTCTGGTGGAGTGTTATTGATTGAAGGGGGGCGGTGCGGTGTGCTGGGAAGTGATTTAGAAAGAAACATGCTGCTTGTAGGTTTTCTGATTTTATTATGGGGACTACATGGTTGAGGAATGTGTTTTGTGTTAATTAGCTGAGTGTTTGTGCATAAATATGGATATTTGGGCCTAGACTCTTACTTCATTTTCATGATACTTAACATCAACCATAAAATCATTTTGAGTAACAGAGCTTGATATTTATTAATAAACCTAGTGTTATACTGCTACCTACAGGACAATGGCCACATAGAAACTTGGAAGCCAGCCCCTTTGAGGCTATTACCCCTCCCGCCTGCTCAGTCATAACAAGCATTCCAAAGAGAGAAGAATAACAGATGAGGGTAGGAAGCTGTGTCCCTCAGTGAATAAAAAAAAAAAGATTTCACAGTGAGTATAAAAATCCTAATTAAGCAAACCTAGTTCACAGTAGCTCACAAGAAGAGAGGGGTAAGGGCTACAGACACCCAGAACACATACAGACACCAGACTCCATATCCACTTCCCAGCTAAACAGTGCAAAGAGCCTTCAAGCCAGAACCAGCACCACTGTATATAATAGAACCCAAGTTGGTCAGCAGACTTCTACATTCCTCCTTGCAAGAGAGCCCGGAGTGAAGAGACTCTCACAGGGTCAGCACCAAATATTTATGTCCTCCCCCAGCATGCACCACTGGCAATAAACAGCTGCCTACAAATGTTCACAGTTGTCTAGAATTGACAATGAAATGTTGTAGAAATATCTTACCATAACCATTACATCTGAGCCATCTTACCATAACCATAACATCTGAGCCTTCTTACCATAACCATAAGCCCTCGTTCACACCTGAACGTTTTGTAGCGCGTTCTACGCTCGACGAACGCTCTACAAAACGCTCAAAAATATAAATCCCATTGTATTCAATGGTCTCGTTCCCACCTTGGCGTATTTCCGCCCGTCCCTAACGCGCTACAAAACGGCCCACGCCTGGAAAGGTACAGGTACTACTTTGGGCCGTTTTGTTGCGCGTTTCCATTGGGATACAGCCAAGTAGCCTTCGGAAACGCGCGCTTGTCGCGCAACTTTTTTACCGCGAATCGCAGTTAAAAAACGCGCGACAGACGCGCATATGCAATACGCCTAGGTGTGAACGAGACCTAACATCTGGAGCCTTCTTACCATAACATCTGAGCCTTCTTACTACCGTGTTTCCCCGAAAATAAGACACTGTCTTATATTTTTTTGGCTCAAAAAAACACACTAGGTCTTATTTTCAGGGTAGGTCTTATTTTCGGGGAAACACGGTAGTAAGAAGGCTCAGATGTTATGGTTATACCCTGTTTCCCCGAAAATAAGACACTGTCTTATATTTTTTTGGCTCAAAAAAACACACTAGGTCTTATTTTCAGGGTAGGTCTTATTTTCGGGGAAACACGGTAGTAAGAAGGCTCAGATGTTATGGTTATACCCTGTTTCCCCGAAAATAAGACACTGTCTTATATTTTTTTGGCTCAAAAAAACACACTAGGTCTTATTTTCAGGGTAGGTCTTATTTTCGGGGGAGGTCTTATATTTTAGCAATTCCCAAAAATAGTACTAGGTCTTATTTCCGGGGTAGGTCTTATTTTCGGGGAAACAGGGTATAACCATAACATCTGAGCCATCAGAAATAAACAAGTCTCGTTGCTCTGATAACATTTAAAACTTTGTAAACACTCATAATGGTAGACAGAAAAATACACAGAGCAGAAAACAATACTAACTTGCCCTGATTCATTCTGCAATTTTTCACAGCAGCAATATCAAACTCATATACGACACCAAATAAAATTGAGTTCAAAGTGTCACATGTATTTAATTCTAGAAAAAAGGATTATACCACTCTAATATCGAACAACAATTCTAATAACAAGTGCAATTTACCTTTTTTTGTGGTAAATTAATTATCCGTAGTCACAATGCAAAGGCATGGGTAAAATAGGCAGAACCAAACAGAACAAGAAGACAAAGTTAGGCACTGGTGAACCAAAGCACAATCATGAGTCAATACACAGAGTCAGCAAGAGTGCTTGAGATTTCAAAAAGGCTACCAGGGCATACAAATTACAAACATCTTCATTTAAATATATGATTACAATAAAGTTTGGATATGGCATGGAAGTATGTTTTTTTGTGATTTGGAGTAATTGCAGGTGAAGGCGCACCTTTCAGCCGGCACCTGGGGGATCTCCACCACAGAAATCCAACCACAGAATTGGAACGGTGAGAGATTTTGTATTCATTGGCCCTAAAATGGTTACAGGAATGGGCACTTACAAAAAAATGTAAGTATTGTACCCTCATGCTCACCACATCTCCAACCGAGTGCAGGTATTTGCAGGTTTATTTTGTGATGTATTTTAGTGGTCCTGTACCACCAAGTCAGGAGTATGCTTGAGCTGGAAGAGCGATGAGAAAAATATAACATGTCATCTCTCTGCTCTGGGATAAATTCAATCTGCAAGTCCTTTTCCAAGCAAGATAAAAAAAGGCGGGCAGAATTGGTCAGGGGGGCAATTTTAAAGGGATTAAGTGTGGAACTGTGCATGCTGGGTCCCACTTCTTTCTGTGCAGTTTTATTCAAATGGGGTGAAGGCCTAGGTATGGTCATACTGCTTGTAAAGAGCAGTCGAGAAGTTAGACAACTGTAGCATTTTCCATCTAGACAGGGGTGGGTCTGTCAGAAAGGAAAGTTCAGAGAGCGAGGGGACTCCCTATAAAGACAGAAAATCCCTCAACCAAAACGTGCAATTTACATTTTGTTTTGCCACTGTATTGTCTGAAAACAACAAAGTATAAACTAGAACAACAACTCTATACTGTAAGGCAATTAGATGAACACAGAAGCTTTGAAGCAGACACTATACTGTGCTCTCCTTCTCCCCGGTCTTTACATAGAGATAGGCAAACCTCATCCCCTACTTGACAGCATTAGGATCCTGGAAATGGACCAGGAATCAAGCACTGCATTGTGGGAGGTGAAAAAATGTACACGTTTGCCTCATACCTGGAATTGCTGGATTTTTCTGGGGCCTGTAGATTAGAGCAGTGGTGGGACATTGTCTTACCTAGAGCTGGTATTGTCTGCTACAAACCTTATGGATTCCATTACTTTTTATATCACAGGCAGGAGTGTCTGAGTAACCCCAAAATATCCTGATTTAATTGCTCAAAAAGCAGGGTCCATAGCAACCAATAAGCATTCACCAATAAGGTTTCACCTCTTATTAGAAATAATTAAATATAATTGCTAATTGCAACTGCAATTTTGCATGAAGCTGGCAAGTCTTTAGCTGCACCAGTGAGCAAGTGTAAAACACCATAAAAAATTGGAAATACTTACTTCGTGATAACCATGTGCAAATTACTCTCAATATATTTTTACTTACATTATAAAGAAGCAACGATGTACAAAATTAATGTAATTAATTTCATAGACAGCTACGATCCACAAATGTGCAAGGCCTGAACATAAACTATAATTATGTTGTGTCTACACAGCAATAACTTCTAAGCTTCATAAATCATAACTGCCAGCCTATCAAATACTGCAGGATAATGAACTCTTTCAAAGGCTAGCATAATATTTTATCGTTGTTCATGCTGAAGTATTCTTCTACTTTATTCTGGTACATTACTTTGCGAATATGCAAAGTATGAGTAGGTGTGCTTAATACGAGGTAACTGTCAGCCAAGGATTTTGTCTGTCAAGCATTTATTGACGTGACCCTTGCTATTCATTTTCCTACAGAGGCTTTTATAAGCTTTTTCATGCACCATCCCTCATGTCAAAGCTTTCTAGCAATCCCTAGATAGCAGCTAAGAAAATGTGTAAAAATTGACTTTACCTTCAGAAGCTTGGATGTCCAGAGCTGCAGAGTGTGCCTAAGTTCAGGAAGTCTTCCCAGATACAATGGTATCATCCCTCCTCACTTGATTAGCTAGAATTACTATTTATTTTTCTAGTGGCTGACAGCTCACTCTTGCCACATTTTTCCAAAAAGGATACCAGAACTGCAACAACCCACCCAACAAAGTTTTATTTAGGACCACCCTTTGTGCAAAGGGTTATTTTTTTATTTATTCTTGCAATCATTTGGAGTTAGCCTTTTGTTAGAGGCAGTATGCATCTACTTATTAATGGTCACTTACAAATTAATGGTCACTTACAAATAATTATTAATGAACTAGTAACCGCAACAGATACATACTGCATATGCGTTGCCTGTAAGATACACTTTAGGATAAAGCCAAGAGA